CTTTACAAGTAAATTTCATTTGTTAACATTTGATTGTGAATTGACTAATGTGAACTAATAAACAAAATACTTTTACAGAATTTATACAACAATCTAAATATAAACTAACCTTAAACTGTGTAAATGTTGTATTTTTTATTAGTTTATAGGAGCTAATATACCTTTAATGAAAGAAACTGAAAGCAATTTACAATAAGGTTTCATTTGTTACAATTAGTTAATGTATTAGTTAATACACAGAAAAAAAAAGACTTTTCTTACTTTTCATCTTAAATCAAGAAGCTTTTTGTAGAAAAGTAAAGCAACTATTTTCTTTTCAGAAAGAATAAATCAAACTTAAATGAGTTTTTGTTTTAAACAAGCTCAATTATTTGCCAATGGGGTAATTAAAACAATCTTATTTTAAATCTAAAACAAGATTATTTTATTTTATATTATTTATAAGAATAAAACAATATTTTAAAATGTTTCTTGGTTTATGAACTTTCAGATATTAAAACAAAACTAATCAAGAAAAGCAGTTTTTGTATGTAACAATATATTTCACAGCATTTCTTTCTGAATATTAAATGCATCTTAATTGAATTAACTAACGTAAACCCCACTCTAAAACCCAACAGTCAACTTTATCAAATTAAATGAGTGTAGTTTACTCAAAATTGACTGAAAGTTAATTCTACTCACTTGAAAAGAGTTTTGAACTCAGTGTTGAAGGTAATGAGTTCAATAAATACCTAATTACTTCAACCTAAATAGAGTAAGTTCACAGTACTCATATAGATTAGTTTTTTAACTCAAATGGTTTGTAGCAAACTGTTTTCTTAGGCAGTTTGAATTACCTTAATTTATTGGGTTTTACTGCTCAAATTGCTTCATGTACTCAAATGGATTAAGTTCACAGGACTCATTAGGATTGGTTTTTGAACTTAAATGGTTTGTTGCAATCAGTTTCCTCAAATGATTTGAGTTACCTTAACCTATTCGGTTTTATAGTGCAATACAACTTATGATTTTACCAATATGTAGTTATGTGGTAATTAACGTGAACTACAATTAATAGAAGTATTGTTCACAATTGGTTTACCTTAACTGATGTTGTTAGCTAATGCAAACAAATAAACTCTCATTAAAAAGTGTTATTATCAAACATACATATACAGAAAACTTTTGATACTGTATAAGACAAAGTATGAATTTAAGGTATAATATATTTGAGAAATGTATTCATATTTTTTTATTTACTGTAATATTTATGACAACAGGATAATGACCAGACACACTCATCTTCAACACGAAAGATTCACAAGCAGAAAGGGGTGATGATGTCATTATGATGTCATCATTATGCTTTTAATGAAACTGAAGAAATTCCACAGTTCTTCAGAATTGCATCATTTCCACAAAACAGAATGGTAATGGTGTAATGATGACACATATATTAAGGACAATATGTTATATCCACTAAAAACTGTATAAGCACAACTGAAAATGCCTCAGTTTCTCCCTCTTTCTCATATATAGTTATTATTTACAAATTTATTGTATATATATAGGTTAATTATATTGCATTGTTAAATTATTGAATAAATATGAATAAACATAAAGAAATTACGAAACCATAGCATCTTTGCTTTAAGATAAAAAGGGGAAATGCACAGTTTATATAGTAATTTGCCACACATACAGTCTGACATTTATATTTAGGCAATATTCTAAAATGTTAGCCATGTCTTGCATCACCAACCCACAGTCAATTATGGTCTAAAGACAAGAAACTTATCGATAAAGCTATAATTGCACTAATAATATCGTTCACATTCCACCACAGGTAGCCTGCTACACTACAAAGTGTTCTGTATTCCAACACTACCCAAAACTTAAAATAATGAGGTATAACGTATTTAATGTCAGGTTATTTTAGTATGAATGATATTTGAGACTTACAGGTGGAGTCCTCCATGAAGAAGGTGGTGTTTTTCTAGAGTACTCCGTAAACACGCTTCAGCAGTCCCGCGCTCTCGTGTACACGAGCAGCATCTTGTGCGGCGCGCGCGTGGCCAACACTACACTTTTGACAGTGGCACACCGCTCCAAATCACCGCTCTCCCGGGTCCTAACGCTCGTCTAACTACCTTGCTTAGCAGACAAAAAATATATTATTATCATTATTATTATTATTGTTGTTGTTGTTGTTGTTGTTGTTGTTTAATAAACGTACAACAACTTGGCATTATCAGTATCTGTACATGTTCACAATACAATAAAAGAACATGCAAAGAGGGGAAAAATGCATACATAAATATTAACATTAAATGAGAATAAAATATATAAATAAATAACAAGGCATAATAACATAAATGAAAGGGGCTAGGGTTTTACCTGTTGTTTATATTGTTTTATAAAATACAAATACAAGTACAAAGATGAATTGCACTTTTTTTTACGTTCTCTTCAGGGTCTTACATAAGGAAGAATCTTATTATAAAAGGCTAAAAACATTGCTTTCACCTTCAAATATTTAGATTTGTGTATGTAGAATTTCCAAAAATATGAGGATATTATTGATTAAGAAGGTATTTTTTTTTGTCAATTAGATAATATCATTTGCAGTGAAGATCCTAATGAGGTTAACAACAGAAGTAAACAACGTCATATAATGCATTAATTTGATACAGTTTTATTTTATAATTAGTGTATTTTGAGAGGGCTACACATCTGTTCATCGCAACATTAAAGTAATAAGCTTGTCCTTTCAGTGTTTGAATATGCTACTACATGTTAAATTATGCTGTCATGAGAGAGAAAAAAGCTATTGTTTAGTGTTTGGAGCTATAGGACAATAGTAAATAACCATATTGTTTTGAATCAAAGCAACACCAGCATTATTTCTGAGAAGCCAAAGATTGTGGCTGATGCTAAAGTTTAGCTCCATCCAGAGGTTGAATGCAGTATTAGACATCAAATCACACATTTGTCACTATTTCTGAATAAAGGCTGCATTAGTGCCTCAAGTCACTTTTTCAGCAGCAATTTTCTTAAATCATTATAAGCCATAAAGCAACACTGTAAAAAAAAAAAAAAAAAAAAAGTTGACTAAATTTTTAAGGCAACCAACTTCAAGACATTTTTGAGTTTACTCAACTTAAATCAAGTCAAGTGCAGTGCTTAAGCTGAAAGTTGAGTCAACTCAGAAAAGCTCTACAGCAAGCTGCCTTACAATTTTGAGTTGAGTCAACTTTCTTTTTCTGCAGTGTATGAGAAGAAACATCACATTACAAGCTTATATTTAAAACAAAAAGTAGATATGAATATCAGTAATAAAGACGAAACAAACTGAACAATGAAGGAAAGAACTACAGATATAAAAAATCTACAGTGAAAAATCACATTGAATTTGAAGTTTGTTGTTTCTATAGTCACAGCACATTTCTAGTGTATTTTTAAATATTCATTCATTTGTTTATTTTCTTTTCGCCTTAGTCCCTTAATCCGGGGTCGCCACAGCGGAATGAACCGCCAAATTAACCGGCAAAATATTTTTAATTATGTATATATACATATGTACAAATATAATAATAATAATAATAATAATAATAATAATTCCTTACATTTATATAGAGCTTATATAGAGCCAATCAAGGGTCAAAACATGACCTTTCTGGACAGAAATTTATAATATGGACTAATCGCTTGCTTTTTAAAATGTCTAATCATCTTGTTTAATCTCGCCCTTTTTCACAGAATTTCGCAGGCACAAACTCTAGTGTGACTGCAGCATGAGAATGCAGGGTGACACACAAACTCACAACAGATCTGTATGTAAAGAATTGTAAATTCAAAAAATTGTAAATCCATTTGGAAATGAATTAATAATCATTGTGATTACATTGATTTGGGAGAGAAAAATTATTAACAATAGATAATATCTCATCTAAACTGAAAAAAAAATTCTAATCTGCATATTAAGGCTATCAGAAATGATGTAATTAATGTTAAGATTAAATAAATAAATAAGGCTGTTGGCTCAAGCATTCAAGTCTTGGCTGGGTCAGTTGGCATTTTTGTGTGGAGTTTGCATGTTCTGCCCATGTTTGGGTTTCCTCTGGGTGTTCCAGTTTCCCCCACAAGTCCAAAAACACGTGCTATAGGTGAATTGGGTAAGCTAAATTGTCCATAGTGTATATGTGTGAATAAGTGTGTATGGATGTTTCCCAGTGATTGGTTGCAGCTGGAGGGGCATCCGCTACGTAAAATATATGCTGGATTAGTTGGTGGTTCATTCCGCTGTGGCAACCCCTGATTAATAAAGGGACTAAGCCAAAAAGAAAATGAATGAATGAATAAAGGTATAAATAAATAAATAAATAAATAAATAAATAAATAAACAAACAAATACATACACATTATGAAACATTTAAACATAATTAAAAACTAAGATTTACAATTATTTGCATTCAGTTGTCATTTGTTCACTTTAGTTAACATAAAAATTAGGCTACTTCTAAAGCATGTTTTTATAATAGGTCATTATTTTTACATAAAAATACAACTGTTGATATCAATAATGCAAATTAAATATTATTTCACGTAATTCAACTAACATGAACAGATATGCTTCTAAAATAGTATTTATAATAAAATATAATCAAATCTATCATAGTACCTCAATATAATAAAGCTGATTTATATTGAAAGATACATTAACTATAAGCCATATTAAATGCCTACTAAACTTTTACTGTTCATCCTGAGTATGTGATATTTAAAATACAAAAAGATCCACTAATGTGTACTAAAATTTTATAAAGTGTTTTAAAAATAAAATCTGATGATGGGTTTGATTTTAAAATCCTGAAATGTAAAAAAATGCAGGGAGCCCTGAAGAGCCCACCCTTTCAAGTTTATCTCAAACCTGATAGGTCAATCTCCTGTCAATCATCAAAAAACAGACCATCTATTGGATAGCTCAGTAAAAATAGGCGGGTCATAAAGTAGGTCTCCCAAACTGCTGCACATATCATCGCATCGGGGAGAAGCGCAGGATTTCCTGTGGCATTGCTGAAGTGGACGCATCCAAGTTTTACATTCGAAGAAGTACCTAGCCCACTTTCACCAACGTCGATTTAATGTCTTAACCAAAACCATCTCATTCGTACGTGCTCAAGACTACACCTCGACGTAGTTAGTCTGCAAGAAGTCTTCGAAGATGTCCGAAGCCACAGTGGCCGATACTCGCCGGTTAAACTCCAAACCGCAGGATCTGACGGACGCCTACGGCCCTCCCAGCAACTTTCTGGAAATCGACGTGTACGACCCGCAGACTATAGGAGTCGGTCGTAATCGCTTCACCACCTACGAAGTCCGGATGAGGGTAGGCCGAATAACCGTAATTGTGTGTTTGTTCCGGAGAGGCTGCGGCTCGGTTCGGCCTAACCATTAGTTAGCCTGCGAGCTAACATGCTAACTAACACCCCATTCGAACTTAAAGACTGTGAAGCTTCACAAAAGCGGGTTATATTTGATAGAACTGCAATTTTTTTGTCTAAATATTTTTTCTTAGTGCGCATGTCTGATTTAGGCAGCCTGTCGGATAGACATTGAGCTTATTTGGCTGTTGTTGTTATTCTGTCCTTCAGCAACATTTACTGTCGAACTGTTGTTTTGCATGTCATAAAATGTATAATTTGATGCGTTATTGTTACACTTGTATCAATTTATTAATGTAGTGTATTAGATGTATTCGAGAAAGCGTATTGTGTACAGTTTTATCATCGACCGATGCTAATGTAATGATTTATTCTGCGTTCTCCATTGAAATGCAGACAAATCTTCCCATTTTTAAACTGAAGGAGTCGGTTGTCAGACGAAGATACAGCGACTTCGAGTGGCTGAAGAACGAGCTGGAAAGAGACAGCAAGGTATGACATCCGTGCAGGAAACATCCTGCATTATAAAATGTCATTATAACAAATAGTTGGTAACGTTAGTTGAACAATTGAATATCCCATTTAGTGTAGATAGTTACAGTATATACTAAAAAAACACTGTAGGCTGTAAATTAATCTGAAATGTACTTGAGATGTAAGCCTTTCTTAATTTTGACAAAACATTCATTCATTCATTTTCTTCAGCTTAGTCCCTTTATTAATCAGGGGTCGCCACAGCGTAATGAACCACCAACTCATCCAGCACATGTTTCATGCAGCGGATGCCCTTCCAGTTGCAATAGACAAAACATTAAAAACCATATTTGCTTCTGTGTCTTAAATGTCTTGATTAGCCTTTCTGCAGCTTAAGGTTTTAGTTGAGGCTGCACAACATATTGTTTCAGCATTGATATCGCAATGTGAGTGTTTGCAATATTCACAGTGCAATATGCAATGTTAAATTAGAATTAACATTGCACATCGATCATCAATTGAGAATACATGAGATTTGTGGAGTCATTGCCAGGGCCAGACAGAATCTGCAGACATTTTCAGCTATTTCTGTGCAGATTTTTGTACAAAATCTGCAGATTTATGTGGATTTATTTTGTAAGTATCATAACTAAAAGCTTAATATATGAAACAAAAAGAATATCTTTTTAACTTTAATGTTTACAATGAAAATCCAATTAGATATATTTATTTGCCAAACAAAGCAAGTCTCTTATATAACCTATCTACTAAAAGACAGAAAATATTCCTTTACAATCTGTATTGTAAATAAATCAAATGAACATTTACAAATTTGTTAATAATAATACTGAAGTTAATTTAAAGCTGAATAAATATACATTACACAGATAAATATATAGACTCAATGATGGGATAAGAATCTGTGGATTTCTGCGTGCTTAGATTTCGTGTGGGCCTCGTCATTGCATAGTATAACCATAACAGAGTGAGACTATCATTTGCATGTGTTTTAAAGGCATTTCAAGAAAGTGTAAAACATTCAGGCACAATAATGTAAAGCATTTTTAACTTTAATGAAGAAGAATTTTGCTGAATTATTAATACAATGAAGTTTGACTGTTTGACTCTTATAAAAAGCACTGTTAATTTTACTTTGATCTTTGCTTTATTGTAATTATTCTTGTAATAATTTTTTTACATGATTTACACCCTTACAAAATCTCCCCAACCAATTAAATAAATGATTTTTTTTCACAAGTAGTTGTTATTCAAGTCATCTGGTGAAATTGTATTCATATCACAGATATCGCATCAAAACAAATTCTTGAATTGTCAGATTTTTCCAATATCATGCAGCCGTAGTTTTAATGAGAAACATTACTGGCAAAAAGACGTACGCTTGTTTCGTCTAATGGAACGAAAACATCCTGAGTACACTTACTAATAATGTTTTGTCAATTTGTGTCTGTTGATTGTAATTCTATATATTATACAATACAAGTTTTTAAAGGATATTTTCTCAGTGTTTTTTTTTTTCTCCTGTGCTGAACCATACATTTCCATTTTAGCAGCACTTACGAACACAAAATTATACAGTTTCATTTGTATAAAGTATAAAGATTTTTTTATAGAGAGATATGTTCATGCATAATTTGTTTGATTGTATACAACATGAAATTAATAAAATCATGTCACTAAATATTGCGTGCACTTTTTGTTTTGTAATGAGCGTAAACAAATTATAAAATTAAAAAGGCATTTATGTGATGTAAAAGACATTCTATATCATGCAGTTCTGCTTTCCAAATAAAAATGTCTTTATTTTAAGAATCTTTAGACATTTATAATTGAAAACAAGACAAAGACACTGAGGAAAACAATTGATTGTTTACATTGTGATCAGAAGGTACGGTTGAAGTTATTTAAAAGCCTAAGCTGTTTTTCACATTTTATTTATTTTAAATTATTCATCAAGTATTCTTTACTTGGCCTTAAAGTCTTCTTACCATCATAAGGCTTTACCATGGTATTTTCGATCCATGAAAATAGAAGCTGGCATGGCAATACAATGCAAACAAACCTTCATAGAACCTGCAGAAACTCAGATTTTTTATTTTTTTTTTATGAATATCAAGGATATGATATTGTGAAAATATAGAAGGCACACCTGAAAAAACACTTCAGTTTTAGTTTCTGACTTCATGACCAAAAAGTAAGGTGAAAGTAGGGCTGCACAATACATTGTTTTTTATAAATGTAGTAATTTCATTTTAACCATAATAAAGTGAAGGTTTATCAGTAGCTTATTTTTAAGGCCTGTTTAAACATTTTAAGCAGTTTTAAAGCATTTAGGTAGAAGGAATTATTACCTTTTTGTAGCTTTAAAAAAGATTATTTCTATTTAATCGTTTACACAATGAAGAACCGACAGCTTTGTTGTACATTTTATTATTTCATTTCTATACCTGTATACTGTTTTACGTAATTTGTATATTTGCTCTGTCTCTGCTTAAAAATTATTTATTATATTTCATGCAGATGAACTCTCCTTCAAAATCATCCTGATCAGTCTAAAATGATTATTTAAGATGTCTTGAATAATGTTGCAATATAAATTGCATAAAATAAAAATATTGCAATGTGTGGTTTTTCCCATTATCATGCAGCCCTAGCTGAAAGCTTCTTCTTTTTTTATCCTTGACTTGTATAGGTGTATCATGAACGTAAATCAAGGCTAGTTTTTAACAGTATGCTGTACTACCTGCATAAAATCCTTATAAAATCTAATAATGTGTTGTAGTCATTGATAATGTGTTTTAGATGTGTAGTTTTATTCTCGAAGCTGTCAGTTTTACTAAACAATGCAATGCACTACAACAATGATGAAACGATCATCCCATTTTGTATCTAATGGAATATGATGTTTTAAGAAGTTATGAATAATCAAGTCAATGTAAAATCAATCATATACTTAAATTTTGAAAGTATATGCAAGGGTCAGCGTACAGTAAGCACTTTTTTGCCACTTGAATACTTTTGCTTAACCTAATCCAGTGTTCATGACGTACTATTAACAAAAAATGTTACAATGATGTGTACAGGGCTCAGCATATGAGTACATCCCTTACAAATCTCTCATTTAAATTCATATTTTCAAAAAGTTGCTTTACAATATTTTATTTGTGCATGTACATCAGATTAGTCTGCACTGAAGCCAAATGTGGAGCTTATCTAACAAAATAACTTACAATAATGGTTCAAAAAATAATAGCGCAAATTTATGTTATTAAATACCATTTTCAAAAATGGCAAAAGTCAAGAGAAACAAAAAAAAAGTAAATTTTTAAAATTGTTTTTGCAATATTTTGCATGAATTTAAATGTATTTTTCCATTTTGAAAGATGTTTTGTGATTAAAATAATCTGTTTAATAAATCTGTTTTGTATAAATGTACCAATATATATTACCCATATTTACTAAGAAATGGATAAAAAAAATATTCAAAATAGGGTGTAATCAATTATGCTGAAAACTGTATTTAGTCAAGATAAAGATTTCACTGCAAATTAGAATTGTGTGCCATGACCTATAAGGAGGATGTTTTTTAGAATTTTACTAAACGATTACTAAAAACGAAGTGTCTGTGCACAGCAACAGGTTTTCCAGCAGATTTTTGATGATTTAGAGGCCTTAAAATTGATTTATAAATGATTTACTAGGCTAACTAGGTTTTATAGAGTAATTTATTTTAAAATGTATGTAATGTATTCCTAGATTGTTGTGCCTCCATTGCCTGGAAAGGCATTGAAGAGACAGCTCCCTTTCCGTGGAGATGAGGGCATTTTTGAGGAGTCCTTCATTGAGGAGAGACGAGCTGGGCTGGAACAGTTCATCAACAGGTTAGCCATCAAAATCATGCTCTAAATTAAGAGCAACAGCAGAATCAAGAACATTATCAATATTTTAAGAATGATTACACACAATTTGTTGTCCACTTTTAAAGGGGTGTTAAAATGACATCATATTTAACACAAAAAAGCCTTTTTTATGTTTTAATGTATTTTGACCTCACAGCAAATCAATAATACAACAAAAAAGCATTTATGTGAGCCTGAAAATGCAAACCTTTAAAATAAATGTTTTTCGTTGTATAAATGTACACTAAGTCATGTCCACCGAAGCATTTTTGTGTAGCTGAAAATGCCAGCGCTGTTCTCAAAACACTCCGCTGTGAACACTTTTTCAACTGTGAGAGCATTTAACTTTTAATCAGGCAAAGAACCATATATTGTAACATTGACGCTGATTACTAATGGTGTAATTAGACATCCCACAAAATGAGACTTGATTCACGAGATGAGACAAGATTTTTAAACTTTAAAGAAATAATAAAATTTAAATTGCATAATAGTCTTTTATTCTTAAAAAAGAAACTAAGTGAAAACTTTTACATTATGAAGCAAAATTTCAGTTTAATAAATGATATGCAGTAATAAATGTGAACTCTACAGAAAACCTCCCACAAATTCAAATGTCATAGCTGAATAGCATACAAAAAATAAATACTATTAAAAATAAACACAAATATCCTTTTAAGTGCTATCAAACACTGCAAAAATGAACTATTATCAAAGTAGTGCTCTCTTGAAACTCAAAAAAAACATCTTTAAATCCCTCCTCAAGCATAAAAGAATGTACTACATAGTACAGCCTAAGATATGGTCATGGCCTTTCTTGTAAATATATTTTTATTGAGATATGACAAAATGTGGAGAGGAGGCAAATTTGGAGAGAGAGATGAGGAATGGAATTGGGCAGGGCCTGTCCTCTAGTGTACACTAGTGATGGTTTTCTTATCACATGAATTTTCAGCGCGGGTTGAATTATTTTAACTTGCACTAAAAACATGATTGAAATGAATTCTGCAGGAAATTCATTGCGGGAAATGTAGCGTCATTTGAGTCATGAAATGGTAATTTGCCTCTATTTGTGCTTTTGATTGACTTGATATGTAACTTGCGCAGATACTTAATTTGGTGTAATACCCGCATGACATGTTCTCTCAGCGTGACGTGATTTAAGTGTGCAATGTGTTCAGCATCATGATCTGCTTTTTAAATATGGCTCTCATGGTTTCTGCAATTCTAACCCAGCAATGTTTTTAGGGTGCTTTCACACCTGTAGATCAATTATTTTGTTTCGAAACTGGGATTAAATTGTTGCAATGTTCATTTTTGTTCTTGGTGCGGTTCACTTTCACACTGCAAAAGTTTCTAAACGGACCAAAATAGCTAAAACAAGTCACGTGCAAGTAAACTCTCCTCACATTGGTTCAGAGTCCCGCTCGGCTGTAATACATCCTTATTTTAATTTATGATGATGAGCAATGAAACATTATTTGTGGAAAAACTGCGCTTTAATTTTGAATGGTGACACACACAGACATAGTCAACAAATAAATAAATCGGAGGTGAGAATTTCTCATGCAGAGCCGTTGGCTAGAATTATGCATTATAGGCTTTACATCAGAGAGAGAAATAGCAGATTAAACAAGACTCCTGTTCGGTTAATTTTACTAACGAATAAACAGCCCCCGCTAATATTTCAGCATGCTTTAATTCTTTATTTGACACTAAATGCACATTTACCGGTAGGAATAAAGACATCCCGCCCTACTCATAATTCTCTTCATGAAGCCATATTGCCCATTATATATCCATTATATATATTTATATATATATATATATATATATATATATATATATATATATATATATATATATATATATATATATATATATGTATAAAACTTATATATAAACATAATTAACGAGTGCCATATAAAGCGCTCAGTGCTTTGCGGAAAAAAATGAATTCTCAGGAGACGGATGTTCTTCAACTTTCATTAACAACAACAAAAAAAGAGAACAAAAATGCTTCGCTGGATGTCCCCTAACTATAAAGCTTTAGTTTTTCCAGATTTCATGGATTGTCTTCATAAATGCTCTGCTTCTGTTTCTCTCCAGAATTGCAGGTCATCCTTTGGCCCAGAACGAACGCTGTCTTCACATGTTCCTGCAGGATGAAAGTATCGACCGGAACTACATTCCTGGAAAAGTACGGCAGTAGGGCTTTCCAAAACTGGGACATGGGAGGGTCTTCTTTCTACAGTTGTCTGCTTCTATTCCCATTTATCTGCATTCAATAATGCAGAGTAACGTTTATTTTTACACTGAGCAAAATCTAGATACGTGACGAACTGCGCAGGACTTTTATTTAACAGATCATGTTTTATACATGCGTCTGAGAGTTTCTCTTTACACACACATTGTATTTCTTTGACATCTATACAGTGTACTTGTTAGTGTGTGTATGTGTGTGTGTGCGTGAGCATACATTATATAACTATACATTAAGCTGTAGTACTGTAAAGTGAAAAGGGTTGGCTCATATATTTGTCCTCTCTGGCGACTGTTGATAAGTCGAGATTTATGGCACGTCATTCCAAACCACCCATATGCATTAAAAGAGCAACAATGGATTTCAAAAATGGTCCTAACGTAAAGCATTAAGCTGTTTGACCAAAAAGAAAAAAGCTCAAAAATATCCTGGAGTATGTTTGAAACTTGCATGAAATCACTTTTTTTATAGTCGTTCGACTATCACAGGACTTTGAAATACTAGTCAGTATTTAAAACCGCAAACACAACTCGGGGATATCATTTGTCGCTCTTTTAATCGTCCGATGCATCATGTGAACAATTTAAACGTCTTGTAAAAAAATGTGGATGTTTCTATCAGAATCAATCAAATTACTTTGTGAACCCACTCTTTTGGATTAAGTGATTACAGCTTTTTAATTTCAATTTTATGCAAAAAGATTTAGCTGGTGCTGTTGTTCAGAAAGCTTTTTGTGTTGTAAAAAAATAAGTTTCTATAACTACTATATAATGCAGTGTATCGGGCCTGTTATTATGGTATTAGGCCTATAATAGGCATTGAGTAGTTGAAAGGTATACTTAACTTTTTTGGGAGGGGTTAAAGTGCTGTAAAATGTCCTTTTTTCAAGCAATATGGAGTTTTTCCAAGTAATTAATCAACAAACGTACCTATTTTTGGTATAAAGTGTTTGCGAGTTCATGCCGATCATGTAAAAAAACAGCTCCCTAAGAGGATGAAATATGTGCCAACTGCGTAAAGGTTGTCCTGCCAAAGTTCAGTCATTTTCCTCCAGAATGACTCTATATTTATGTTATCTCCTGTGGTCATCGATTTGTGCCTGTGACGTTTGTCTGTAAATAAAGTAAAAACGGAAATGGAGAGCACCGACTGGAGGTTTTTATAATATGGGAACGTTTTTTCCTTATTCTGTTTGTTCTCTCTTCCATTTTAGGTTTGAATGAAGTAAGTTTTGTTTTTGTTTTTTACTCTCAGTATGTTGTAACCAATGTGGGGAAACGACGTCTGCATGATTTGCTAATAATCGAATCAGTTATAATGAGGGGAAAACGCCGTCTCATGGTCATACTTACAAAGCTCATGTTAATGACCTTCTACATCCTGTTGCTTTGCTAATTCTTTTTTGTTCTGCATCTGCTTGTCATGTCTTTAGCAGTCTACTTCTAGCGCTGACAGCATGTCGCATGCTTTGTGTTGTTCATTCTGGAACCATATAGGGATTGTTCAGGCAAAAATTTACATTTTCTGCTGGTTTATTCATTTACTACTCCTTTTTTGTTCTGTAGTGGAAGAAAAATAATGTTTTTAGCTGAAACGATGATCTTTGCGCATTCTCAGGGTTCACGCTTCTTGATGGTACTTAAATTTCAGACATATGAATTCAAGGAAAGTACTTAAAAACAAACATAGTTGCTCAAAAGTGCTTGAAAATTAAGTTTATGGTGGTGTTTGTTTTTTGTTTTTTTTTTTGTGAAAAAATTAAGAATTTTTAAATTTAAAAATCTTAAATTAGATCTTATACATGAACTATGTCAAATAATTCATTTTATCAATACTTCAGAAGCCGCATTTGAATAATACCAGCATTCGATTCTAATTGTAAAGTTTTTTGAATGTGTCTTTAATGCAGTTGTTTAAAGCGGTCAACATTTTTGACATTCAAAACATCATCATGAAATTTTTAATGTCAATAATAAGTATAAGTGAAATGTTAAGTACAGGAAGAACTTTCATGGCACTGTATATCAGGGTATCTGCAGGGTCTTAATGTCTTAAATTTAAAAAGCAAAATTTTCGGGCTTTAAAAGTCTAAAATTGACTGAAATATTGTCTTGTATACTGTAAAAGAAAATTCTGGTTGCCGCAAATTTTTAAGCTGAATCAAATTAACCTTATGAGTCCATTGAACTTATGTTAAACTGACTTAAAACAGCTTGCCTAACTTATAAAATTAGTATATAATAAGTTACAATGACCTAAAAACATATGCTGTCTGGACTAACTGATCATATAATTTTTACAGTGTATAATCCTTTACAGTATAGGTCTTAAATCATTTTAAACATGTCTTTACAAAAATGTCCTTTATGTAAAGCTACCTAATCGATTCATCGCACATTTAATCTCCAACGATGCATCTCAATAAAAACTTTTAGCAAAACTATATTTATAACTTATATTAGTCTAAAAGTCTGTTGTCCAAACATTTAGTTTTAAAGTCATGTTGAAAAAACAAATGTATGTATACAATAGGATCTGCTTGTTTTGACACATTATTTAAAATGTGTGGCTAAAAAAAATTTGAATTAAATTTTTGATGGGGCAACAAGTACATTTCTTTTTCTGGTCAGTTAAAAAAATCCTTAGCGTTTAGCCCTTAAGTCATTCTGCATGGTCTTTAAAATCTTAAATTTATCTTGGTGAAACCTGCAGAAACCCTGTATATGCTGGCGGTGTGAATTATAAAGGTGCTTGTTTTAAAATTATTAGTGATTTTAAAAAGTCCTTGAATTTGATGTTCCTGAAAGAGTGGGAACCCTGCATTTATTAGATGTAAGTCAGCGGCTGCTGGTACTTTTTAAGAGTAAAAAAATGAATGTCTGTGGTTTCTGGTGATGCGTTGAGGTTTTATGAAGAGAAACAAACTGAACATTATAACATCATATTTTTATATCCACAGCTTGGACTTGATTGTGAATGTCCTTGGGGTTGTTTTGTTTTGGGGTTAGCTGTAAATTAAGTGTTGTAAATCTTGTTCATTTTCTTTCACAAGCATAACAAATTGTTTCCTAAAACCTCTATGTATCATCAGGAGCCATGAGGATCAAGTTTGTTTCTTGACTCAATAGTGGCAGTGGCCATTGACCTACAATTTATGAATGACCAACAGTTTCACATAAGAGTCGTTGGGTTAGTTCATAGAAACATTTTAATTCTGTTGTTTATTACTAATTCCACTCTTGTCTCACTCTAATACTTTGTTCATCTTCAGAACGCAAATGAAAATGTTTTAGATGAAATCTGAGAGCTCTCTGATCCATAGACTAGGGATGGATGATAACAATTATTTTCCTTCCGTTTCGAAACCAAGTATTTCAAGACAAGTATTGTTGATTCAGATACTTCAATGAAATATTTGATGTTTTTTATCAAGTACAATAAACATTACTTTTTACATTTAATTGCATAAAACAGTTAAACAAAAATTGCCTATATCACACCATATATGACAACAAAACAAATTGCACAAAACTTGTAAAAAAAAGTTTTTAAATCTTCATTTCTCCCCGTTTTTGATGGAGAAAAACCCCCACTAGATTATGCTTCTTTTTCGTTCAGTCATGATGACCGCATACACGCGCTCGTTTTAAAACTTGTGCTGAATGTGTGCGCTGTGTACTGTGCTTTGAAAGTGTGAGATTGTGAGCAAACACTGACCCATTAGTGTAGATACAGTAAGGAGTATTATAGTTCCTATTCCTGTTTCTATTTAAGTAAATATTTACAGTGCTCAGCATACTGTATATAAGTACACCCCTCACAAATCTCTCTTTTAAATTCATATCATTAATAAGAAGCTATACAATATTATTTTGTGCATATACAGTAGATTAGTCGGTACTGAAGCCAAATCTGGAGCTTATAACAAAATAACTTGCGATAGCAGTCCAAAATCTAGTACACCCAAAGTTGTTATAGAAAAATATTAAATACAAATTTAAAGAGTAATTGAAACTTTTTGTAGGTGGTAATTGTTTTTGCAATATTTTGCTTGAATTTAATTGTATTATCTGTTTGATATCTGTTTTGTTTAAATGCACCAAGATACATTGCCTATATTCACTGAGAAATGGTAACAAATATTCATTTTTAAAATGGAGTGGACTCAATTATGCTGAGCACTGTATATCCTATGGGGTGCTATCATTATTACTATTATTATGATATTCTAAAATAAATGATCACTCATCAAAAACCCCCAGACATTTCTATTTAAGGCTCTATTCTTTAGATACATTACCAGTGTCTAAAACAGGGGTCTCAAACTCAATTTACCTGGGGGCCGCAGGAGGCAAAGTCTGGGTGAGGCTGGGCCGCATAAGGGATTTCACAAAGAAAAAGTCCTCAAATGTCATTATTAACAGTTTTAATTATTTCTTCTGAACATGAAGTGTCCTGAACATTAATAGAACATTGAGTGAAGATTATGAACAGTTCTTCTGAACATGGCATCTTTTGCCTACTTCTTGCTGCCAGAGACTTGACAGCGCTGCTTCTCACAAATCTGAACCACATTTGGCTTTAGAGCAGAAGCAGTTGAGACCCTCAGTATGGCTTGAAGATGATCATCATTAAGTCTAGACCTGTACTTTGACTTATTGAAGTCCTAGGGAAAAAAGTGGGGGAACTCACTCAAAACTTCCATTCCCTCACCTAAAAAAAAGGCGTATTTATGTATAAATAAAACACCCCCACCTGTACCAGTCTGTATCTACCTATAATATCAAGATGCAGGGCAGGCACGTGCACACATAGGGCTCAACCTGTGCAGTGCACATGCCCTTTTTAGTCTTGCATAGAAAGTGCCCTTCCAAAATGATCAAAAGTGACCCCGCGACGCGACACACCCTTGGTCCCGCCCTTCAGTACGCGCGCGACAACACAGCTGATCAGAACGCGCGCGACAACACAGCTGATCAGAACGCGCGCGACAACACAGCTGATCAGAACGCGCGCGACAACGCGCATTGAGTGACAAGCGCGCTGTGTACGGATAGAATCAGCGGAGCGGGGAGCGCTCTCTCTCCTCGCTCCGCTAATTCTGTCAGGGTACAGCGGTCGGCGCGGGCCACAAAATTTTGCACTGAGGGCCGCAAATGGCCCGCGGGCCGCGAGTTTGAGACCCCTGATCTAAAACAACAATACTTTAGAACTGATCTGCCCACTCTATACCAGACCACAACGCTCTTGATCTTCAAAGTCCAGAAAAAGAGCCCGAAACAATGTCAAACATTGTGTGACTTGTGCCTGAACTATAATCATACAATTCTCAAATTGTGTACACTTTTTTTGTTTGCTAAAAAATAGTTTTTAGTTCCTTTTATGGATTTTGAATGTCTCAGGATTGTTGTTGTCAATTGAGGTTTAGAGAGCTATTTTCATTTAAAATATCTTCTTTTGTGTAATGAAGATTAGGAATGAACAATATATCAGCGGCCATATCGATATCGGCCGATAAACGCTATTTTTAATGTTAACAATATCGGTCCGATATCTTTAAGCTAATAGATTGTCATTGTACAGAATCGCCAGCCTTTTGTTTTGTTATTGAACGTATTATTTTTATGCAACAGGCAAGTTGCATGTTAATTTGCTAGGCAAAGAAAAGGAAATAATCTATTTTTGGCATGTTGGTTTGTGTGAAATCGTTAATATATGTCTATATAATCACTTTTAAATCATTTTTAAAGTATTTCTCTTTTTTTCTTTGAGTAGGCTATTCTAAGATCTGTTCAAACTTTTATTTATTTTAAATTTTTAATAAAATAAATTGTTTCCTGAATAAAAATATAACATTTTGAAATTTATATTTATCGGTTAAAATATCAGTTATCGGCCTCCAAATTGGAGTTATTGATATCGGCCCAAAAATCAATATCAGTGCATCCCTACTGAAGATGAACAAAGGAGTAGTTTGAAATGACATGAGTGTGCATAATTAATAATAGAAGTTTATTTTTGCGTGAACCAACCCTTTAATGTTCTACTCAAGAAAAATGTCTTGGATGGTTTGTGGCTGAGTAAATTAACAAATTAAAAGTTTATTTTAATTGATCTATCCCTTTAATTAAATTAGCTTCGCACCAAATTTCAGACAACTCTCTGGCTGTTATCCCATTATCCAATCAACCCGCTTTGTAGTTTTGTCCAAAATAAAATGAATTTAAGCAGGCAGCATACTTTGCACTGTTCAAGATTTCTAACAGTTGTGTTTCATGTGTTTTGGCCTGTGATCCAAAGGTTTTGGTAAACCCCTTCCCTTGTCCTGGATCCGTCTGCTCTACCAGCTCTTTTCTGCACATCAGTCAAAGCCTTTCACAGCTGCTGTCCCCTGATATCCTGTATATATTTCTATTCTCGAATAGAACTAAACGACAGCATCTGTTCCACCCTGAGGATGAAACCATCTCGATGCTGTATTTATACCTCAAGCACTCTTTGTGGAAAGAACAAGCTTTTTTTGCTGACTTTAAACATGTATTGCTTTCTCAAAGAATTGTGATTGAAACATTTAAGGCAACCCGTCAATTTATCTCCAAAGAAATAAGTAGGATTTGCTGTTATGACATTCCATTTAAAGGTTAAGTATGTACTTTGTGTCGTCTTGCAGAATTACAGAAAGCATACTTGCAAGCGCCCTTACACTCGCTGTCTTTTTGCATTCATTTTAAAGTGATAGTTCACAGAAAAAAAAATTGTCAGTATTTACTCCCCTTTCAATTGTTCCAGACCTGTTTGACAGACTTCTGTTAAACACAAATTATATTTTGAAGCAAGCTGGAAACCAGTAACCACTGACTTAAATAGTATTTCCTTTTCAGATTGTGTATGTCAGGTTACCAGTTTCCAACATTCTTCTAAATATCTTTGTTGTCAGCAGATTTAAAAAAAGACTCATGAATGTTTGGAACCATGTGATTAAATAGTGAGTCAATTTAATTTTTAGGTGAACTATTATACATATTGTTAAACTGTTGTGGCTAGAAGGGATACAGCTGTGGCTGGAAGTATTTTTTTTCTTTTACTTTTTGAAAACCCTGTTAAATTGTGTTTTATTACTCCTCACTGTAATGTATAAACAGTAATTATTGTTGTACAGTGTCACAAACTTTATGCTGTATTGGTGTGCGCATGCCAAGTAGCCGCAGATGTATCCCATCTAGAAGTTACCATTTTAAAGGGGCTATTATTTGACGATAACTTGACTTTAGCTAACCTGTCAAGTTCAGCACCTCATTTGAAAGACAAACATTCCCTCAAATTGCTCCATCTTGTAAAAGCACTGCAATTGTTTGCCCTTTGTTTTACTCTCTTGTCCGTCTCTGTATTTCGACAAGTCTTGAGTTTTGCTTTTCACTTCCATAAGCAAATCTGTAATGAATTTCTCATGTTACCGATCACTAAACACCCTCTGGCTCAGCCTGCTTTACAGTAGCCACGCCCCAACCTCTTTCAGTTGGTTGAGCTGGAAAGTGATTGACAGATTTGTGTGAAGACTCTCAATTAAATATGACTTTTACAATAATAAGGTTAAAAAAATAGGTCAAAAATCTTATTGGCTTCACCCTTATGGATTAATAGGGGATATGCTTAAAGATTTTTAGTTTTCAGTAACCGAGTTCAAGAACTTTCAGTGAACTGTTGTCCCGTTACAAAATCCAAGCGTTTAAGGTCTGTTTTCTTTAAAAATCAATGATCTTCACTGCCTGATTGATATACGATATAAAGTGGGTCTCTGAATGTACAAGAAGCACTGCATTAAATTCCATTGTTCTGCGCCATGTCATTAAAAATTGAAAATTGAATTTACCCCAGTATTTTCAATGGCGTTTCTGTGCTCGCCTGCTGCTCCTGATTGCGCTTGCTTTCAAACGGCTTTTCATCTCGTTTTACGATATAACAATTATATAAATGCTTAAGTCTATTTAACTGATTATATTTTAATTAGGCCTACATTACAACACTGATGCTGTAAAAAGAAAGGATGAAATTGAAAATAATCACATTTACCTTTCTTAGGAAGTTTATCGGTAGGGTGAAAAACACTTGCTGTGCATTTACCTTACTGAATCAAGCTTTAAAGGGAAACTGTCCAAAACATTACAAAAACATTCTAAAAACCATTAGCGTCAATGTGAAATCAAAATGTACAATGTTTTTGTTACCACACACTGTTATTGTTTAGGTGAACAATTAATAAGTCAATCCACAAAAAAAAAAAACTGTTCCCTCATAGCAAACTAACGGTAAATAGAGGTGTGATTAAGACCTTTGTCACTGAAGTCATCAAGGTCAATAGAGACAAACCATTATTGCAAATGTTGAGCAGGGTGGGGCCAAGCTGGAGTCTCTCTGATTTTCCAGGCTCTGCAATGGTTTGGGAAATTCCAAATTGAACCAAAACAAATGGTTAAAATTGGCTTAAGATTGGCAAATAAAATTTGGAAAATGCATCAACCAGCTTTGAATTAAAAAAAAATTAATAAATAAATATCATGGAAGCAAATGGTCAGACTTTAAAGATTACCAAAACAAACTTTTGCACTAATTAATTGTGCACCTAGAATAACAAGTTGTGAATTTTGATTTCACACAGACTATAAAATGACACAAACTCACCAAATGTAGCACTTCAAATATAAAACTGATTGCCTCTCGACAATGTCTTCCTTTACATTCCGTATTTCAAACCTTTTTGACTCTTAAGTGTGTTAGAGTAAAGCTTCGCAAACATCTTTGACTGTATTTTTGTTGGTTTGGTGTCAGTGTATGAGTCCAGCTTGGGGAATGTACATATTCTTTCACTGTGAAAACTGAATTCCATTATGAAACACAATGTGTCACGTTTGCCGTTATGTTTCTGAATGCCATCTCTTTAACTGAGTTCTCTTTTGTTTATTGGTTTTTTTATTTGTTTGTTTTTTTCTGGCTATTACTTTCCTGGTTATTTTCAGGACTGTGTGTAAAGAAAAGGGCACTGATTGGTTTTTAAACAGATAGTCATTCTTTATACTCATGAATAAACCCTCTCTGTCTGCTTCAGTGTATTCCCTCATTCTGTTCTATAAGGCCATGTTATATAGTTTAAAAAATAAATGGGTAAAATACCAAAAAATGTACTGGCAGCCTATAGTTTTTGTAACATATTGGGGTATATGCGCACAGACTTTTCAGCCAGCAAGCCTCATCGCTTCCTGTGAACTGTCTTTCCCTTATAAAGTTGACACGTTTAAGATCTGGTTTCTTTAAAAATCAGTGATCTTCAGTACCTTATAAATATACGATATAAAGTGGGTCTCGGACCGGAGCACTGCATTAAATCACATTTCCCCCCGTCATGTCTTTAAAATTTGACCGTTTATTTTACCCCAGCATTTTCAATAGTTTCTGAGCTCTTTAATCTCGTTTTACTCTTGAATTACTAAAGAATGCTTAAGTCTATTTAACCGAATGTATTTTCATGAAATTACTAAAGGAACCTAAAATGTAAAATAGTCACGTTAAGCTTTCACAGGAAGTTTATCATTGGCTGAAAAACACTAGCTGTGTATATACTCTATTTGCACTACGAATGTCAAAAATACATTTTTAAAACCAGTATTACATTTTAAATGTCTGGTGATGGAGCTCAAAGTTAAAAAAGATATATATTCCTAGCCTATAAGCTCATACAAAGGGATAATTTGGCCAAACATTGCAATATTTTCATTTAATGATTTTATATATATATATATATATATATATATATATATATATATATATATATATATATATATATATATATATTTTTTTTTTTTTTTTTTTTTTTTTTTAGATATTTTGGAGAATGTTGAGGAAAAAGCTATTGACGTCAAAGCAAAGAATAATATGGAAGCCGATGGCTGTTTTTTCTATCCTTCAGAATATATTAATCTGTGTTCAACAGAAAAAAATAAATGCTTGGCAATTTATAAAAATGATTTGTAATTTAATTTATAGGTGAGTTAACACTTTAAAAACTTACACAGGGCTACAGATATATGCTACATAAAAGTTAGACCATATATTAGGTTACCAGACAGAGATGTCTAAAGTAGGGCCCGCTGGCCAAAGTTTGCCCATTGTAACCTTTGATTTGGCCCACCATTCCACTAGCCTCAATCAAGTTTGGTTCTTGGCCCTTCATAAGAAAAAGTTTGGGCACCGCTTCTGCAGACCAACGTTATTATTCAAATGTATGCATCTTAGATTTTAATAAGATATGAATGTACACCCGCTTCATTTTCTTGTAGTAATTCAGATTAAAAAGGAATATGTCGAATTTAAAATCTGTTTTCAAGAACAACCACAAGGTGGCAGTGCTGTAAAAGATGAAAAAAAAACTGTTCGCCAGACATTTCACAAGAAGCCTGTATGATGAAGGCTGAATCAAATATTTGTCCATTTCCAGCTCTTCATTGAAGCACACTTTACCTCACGTAGAAAAATTATAAATTGTCAGTAGTTTAATTAATATTACACATATCATACGAACACAATTGAATACAATTATTTAATAAAATATTTTTATTAATATACATTTTTAAAGTATTTATGCTAAACAATGCTGCATTTATCAGCATTGATAAAAAAAATAAAAAAGGAAACAAATAATAAAATAATAATGAAAAAAATTATCAACCTTCTGTTTTTATGTAAATTAGTCTAATCCTCTTCAAATTAATATTTCTTGCAGAATTTATGTTTTTAAAATAATCCATGAAAGGTTGCCAGATTTTCTAGAGTTTGTCTTCTTTCTTTTTTAGGGACAATCTGATTTTCTCCAGTTCCAAATGTTTCATCAAATCCCTCATTAGATGTATATACTCTATGTGGGAGCAGCTTTCTGTTTCCAGTTGAATAATATTAACCTCCATGCTAGTAGACAGGCAAATAGAATTATTGTTCTGTACTGTTTTTCTGAAAATCAGTGATGCCTAATACTGCAATACCAGGATCTGCATCTATTGGCTTATGACCTATTTTTGAGAATGTTAAAAAATGTATTCATTTTAAATATATTCAAACAGAAACAATTTTAATTTTTAAATGAATGCAGCGTTAGTGTACTTGAAAAGAATTTAATTAAAAAGCCGACTTATTTCATTACACTGTGCTAACCTACAAAATCAGACATTTTTGTGCCCAGTGTTATTTTAAGGCCAATCTTTTGAACACAAGAGTGTGTTTTCAGGGCTTGTTGCCCTTGTCATTCTGGATTACACATGGGGGAGGGAAGAGTTAAAGTCTACCTGAATGAGCCTGTCCGGTATAAGCTGTGCAAGAGCTGCTTGAATGTAGATAAACTGACACCATTAGTTCTTACAACTGCAGGAAGAGGCGTGTTAAGAGGATTAATATGTTCCTCATTTAGATCCTGGATACTTTTGGGATATGCTAATAGTCTAATCGGCAGCGTGTGAATCACATGGACAAACAAGCGCAAAAATGATTGTATGTCTGCTGTAACTTTTTGACTAATTTGTTTACAAATAAGCATGTATAGCAATGTTGTTTTAGTAAAAGAATCCTTTTAGGAACCATGGAAATTATATAGATCAATATCTAGATATATAGGTCAATATCTATATAATATTTCTATGTATCCACACTAATACATAAAAAGTTAGTTGTGAATTGATTACATTTACACTGTGTATTTATACTCAGCAGTAGTTTATGCATTTTATAAGGTTATTTTGTAATATATAATTGCAATCTGAAAGCCACTGAGTGCATGTATTCCACATATATTTGTTTTTATTATAAGACTATGTTTTCCTGTTGCAGGGAACGTTCACCCAAAAATGGACATTTACCTATAATACACTCTCCCTAAAGTAGTTCCAAACTTCTGAGTTACTTTAGCCTGTTGAACACAGAGGAAGATATATTTTGAAGACATTTTAACACCTACCATCGATTTCCTTAGTGGAAAAAAAAATACTATGGAAGGCAATGGTTACAGACCGCCAACATTTTTCAAATGTCTTCCTTTTATGTTTAACAGAAGGAGGAAATTCAAGTAAAGCGTGAGCAGGTGATGCCACTGGCTGCAAACCTGATTGAGTTTTTTCTTCTGTTAAACACAAAGGAAAACATACCGAAGAATGCTGCAATAAATGTATTTTTTTATAAATCTGAATGGCAGCTTTTCCCCCCAAATTCGTCACAATATCTTGCTTTGTTCAAAAATTCATAAATTTGAGTGTGGATAAATGTTGATTATTTTGTATACATTAACAAATATAGTTAGACTGTGTTGAGGTGGCAATTTTTGTAGCGTTTGATGTAACATTTGATGTTAATACATTGTCATATATGAGCAATATCAAACTCGTAGCAGTGCGATGTGGCTGTATATCGTCACTGGTGGGAGGTGTGTGTTGTCTTAGCGCCCCACCAGTGACGATATACACCCATATTGCACTGCTACGAGTGTATTGTGTTTATACAAGAGTTCAACGACATAATCGTGTATATAAAAAACAAAATCAAGCGTCTCAAAATCCTATTGGTAGAGGAACTATTTTCTTCCGCTTTTCATTCACATCTGCAGCTGACGTCAGAACAGCAGGAACCATTGCTATCACCAACATTACTTTAGAGCTAGTGCTGGAATGATTCTCTAGTGTAATGTCTAAAGTGATGACAAAACAGGTAATTTTGTCGACATTTTAAAGCTGAACGGCATGAAACGTCATCAGTCTACAGAGACTTCCCAGTATTTCAGTTGCAATGGGGAGATCAAAATAATTAACCAAAAAAAACTCAAAGCAACGCAATCTCAACTCATTGGAAACAGATGGTTATCTTCAGTTTTAAGACTTAAGATGAATCCCATCTCACACTCAACATACTACAATTACTGTGGTATGAATACAGCACTACAACATACAAAAGAGAGAGATCGACTTAGAAAGTCACTTACCAGTTTTATAATGATTTGATCCGCTGTACATTAAAATTATGCAGGGTTTTTCCTCTCCTGTAAGGGCTTATTATGCGGTATCTGTGGATGGACAATGACAATGGTCTTTAGTCTGCTTAATGACAGGCTAATGGAAATTATAAATATGTTGAAATAGGCACTATATCCTTATAAATAAACTGCATAGTTGCGATCTAAACAACTAGTCTCACCTAAAAAAAAACTTAAAAGTACATTATGTTGTCCAACAGCAGCAATATTTGTCAAACTGTAGAGTGTCCTCTGCTTGTTGCTGTACATGTGCGTAGTAATATACAAAGGTGAGGGGTAAAGAGGCTGGACGAGTGCTGTTACTGGCAGAATATAGCATGGCTATCAGCCAATCAGATTCAAGAACCAGACTGAACTGATTTATACATACCATTATCATAAATAAATAATGTGTGATTTTGGTGCATATATATGTACATTCAAAAAATGAGCTTGTTCAAACTAGTTATTTAAAATTATTTTTTTGGTAGGAAACTTGATTGTTTTATGTTCAATCAACTTAAATTTGTAAAAATCATGATGCTAACTTTATTGATTTGTGTCGGGACAATATGAAGGAATTGTGTGGAACCTGACATTTTATTTTATTTTTACAAACATACAGTGTACATATGTATGTATTCACACACTCAGTGGGGTAAAATAAGTATTAACACATCACCCTTTTTCTCTGAAAATATATTTGTAAAAGTGCTTTTAACTTTAAGTTTTCACCAGATGTCAGTAACAACCAAGGCCGGCGGATCCATAAAGGCAACTTATACCCCTCTTAACTTCGCAAACCGGTCACTTCGGTTTTCATTTTCAGGTTGAGGGCGGTGTATTTGACGTTTGCCTAGAGCGCCAGTTCTTTAGCAGCTTGCTCTGGCCCGGGTAACAACCAATCCAGTCATCCAAAAAGAACACATGAACAAAGGAAGATGTAAAAAGCCATGGAAAGTCCAGACATTAACCAAAATCTCTCGTAGTTAGAAAGCAGCCCTGTGCTTCATTGGTGTAAACAAATATTAGCTGCTTCCAGCCCAACACCTACTTTACCAGAGGATGAAGATGAAACCAGGCTGGACATTTCAGCAAAACAATGGTCTAAAACACACACAAGGAAACTCACAACT